AAGGAAGAATGAAACATTGTTTTGTGCAATGATGTGAGAGCATAATGATGTGAAATACTAACTTCTTTGTGGTTTAGGTCTTAAAAATTAAGGGATAATCAGGACAAGAATTCTGTTCATTATACAGTCAGAAACACTGACTTGAGGCCAGGCAGGCAATGTGATTAAGTGGTTAAGTGGTCTCAGTCCAGGGTAAATGCCTATGTGGACATTCCTGAGTGGAGGGGTGTGCACAGTGGTGGGAACACGCGCCCTCTGTGGGAGGAGAGGAGGCTGACTCAGCTCCACCCCGTGCTGCCCTGGGGGAAGGCAGATCCAATCCTGCTAGCTCTTCCAGCTTTTACAGAGAAGTTTCAAACTATATTTGATTGTGTGTGTGTGTGTGTGTGTGTGTGTGTGAAAACCCCAAAGTTTTAAATATTGGCTCAGAATTTCGAGGCACAGTATTTTGCACGCGTATCTGTGCGCTGGGTCATAGAAGTGGAACTTCTGATTGGAACTTCCCTGTGTCTGAGACTAACCTTAGGACGTGTGTGTGTGTGAGTGTGTGTGTGTGTGTCTGGTGTTGCCACAACACTTCCCTTGCAGAAACTGAGAAGCACAAGGAGGTAAGTCGGCCTTCGGGGAGGGTTTTGAGCACCGGAGTGCGCTAGCAGAAAAACACTGGATGGTGGAGGCTGCCCCTGTGTCACACACATTAAGTGGTTCCTGAGTTAGCGAATATTTTTCTCTGTGATTAGGCCCTCTGTGTGTGCTAATTGGTGCCTATCAAAGTCAGACTCTTGCCCTCCCACAGGAACTGGGAAACAGGGACTATCTTCTTTGATGATTATGTATCAAGGGGACGGCTCCCAGGTCCTTGGGGAAGGACATTCCTGGGTTGTAAAAACAAAACTAAACAACAGAACCTTAGCAAGAAACTTTTCAAGATTTGTATCTTAGCAGAGGCAGAAAAAGAACTCAAAATTCTGAGTTTTCTTTTTTTTTAATTGAGAAGTGATGTGCAATTTTTCTTTTCCTTTCTTTAAGAGGCAAAGAGGGAGACAGAGAGAGACAGAGACAGAGAAACAGAGAGAGAGACAGAGAGAGAGGGATCACATTTGCTGGCTCATTCCCCAAGTGCCCACAAGGCAGTGGGCTGAAGCCAGGAGCCTAGAACTCAGTCCAGATCTCCCAATCATATGGGTCATTGCTGGTGCCTTCCAGTGTCTGCATTAGCAGGAAGCTGGAGTCAAGAACCAGAGCTGGGACATGGGCAGTCCAACAAGTGTTTTAACTGCTAAGCCAAGCATCTGCCTCCAAGTCTTCTAAAGTAAATCCTTCAAGAAAAAGGAGATCAGGAAGAAGTCGATCTAAAGTTCATCCAAGTTGGGGAGGGACATTAAGGCCATCTCGGTACATATGCTAGATGCTGATGTTTAGCAAACCAGGTACACATCATGTAGGTCTACGTAGACTTTAAATAAACCAGAATTCTAGACATGCTTATCCCAGGCTTAAAGTCCTCCCCAACCTTCCCCCACCATCTACTGCAGCAGAAACCATGGTATGCCAGTGCTGGAGCCTAGACAAGAACTCCATCTCTCACAACTTGGAGGAAAAAAAAGCATGCTGCCCCTGTGTCTCCCTGCTCCCGGGGGGCATCTGCCTTCCTAGATACCTACCAACACATGACTATCGCTGTACCAGGACAATGTGCCAGCTGTGCCACCTTGGTCTCCACCTTTTAAATACACATAATCAATACATACTACACAGTATTGCATGAGCAGTAAATCTGATCTATGTCCAGCACCTGTCATATGATAATAACTCAACAAATGGTAACTGCCAATACTTTCAGCCAGTTCTCACCTATGCCATTATATTTTTCCTAGAGAATACTGAACATTAGGCAGACAAGGCAAGCAGCTGAGCTACCTGGAGATAACAGTTCCTATTGATATGGGAATAGGAAGGCAGCTAGACAGATCTGCTGAGCTGAAAAGTCACAAGCCCCCCCCCCCCCATATTTCTATCCTCAACAATTTCTGTCTATCAATCAAAATGTCCCTTTCCTGGGCTGCATCTGCATCGGTGACCGAAGGATGCCATGAAAATACAGATACTGAGCTCAACATGTAACTTATGGAGATGCCACATAATTTCCAGTTGGCTTCCCATGTGCTGAGGTAACACCCCTACCTTATAAAAAAGACCAACAGGGGCCAACGTTGTGGTATAATGGGTAAAGCCACCGCCTGTGATGCCTGCGTCCCATGTGGACAACTGGTTTATATTTCAGCTGCCCCACTTCTCACCCAGCTCCCTGCTAATGTACCTGGGAAAGCAATGGAAGAAGGCACAAGTGCTTGGGCTCCTGCACCCATATGGGAGATCTGAATGAAGCTCCTGGCTCCTGGCGTTGGCCATTACAGCCATTTGGGGCGTGAACCAACGAATGGAAGCGCTCTCTAGCTCTCTCTCTAACTCTGCCTTCCAAATAAGTAAAATAAATCTTTAAAAAGAGAGAGAGAGGCCGGCGCCACAGCTCACTTGGCTAATCCTCCGCCTGCGGCGCCGGCACACCGGGTTCTAGTCCTGGTTGGGGCACCAGATTCTGTCCCGGTTGCCCCTCTTCCAGTCCAGCTCTCTGCTGTGGCCAGGGAGTGCAGTGGAGGATGGCCCAGGTCCTTGGGCCCTGCACCCCATGGGAGACCAGGAGAAGCACCTGGCTCCTGGCTTTGGATCGGCGCAGCGCGCCAGCCATAGCGGCCATTTGGGGGGGCGGTGAAACAACAGAAAAGGAAGACCTTTCTCTCTGTCTCTCTCTATGTCTAACTCTGCCTGTCAAAAAGAAAGAGAGAGAGAGAGAGAGAGAGAGAGAGAGCGCTACAACTGGGAAAGGCTGGCTCTCTCTTCTACCATAGACCACAGTGGGAGGGGCTGCAGGGTGCTCTCTCTCTCTCTCTCTCTCTGTCCCCTCTCTCTCTCCTTCTCCTTTTGGGCAATCTTCTGGTCCACTGCCCACTCATGACAGGTATTTCTCTCTGTGGGGCAATCTATAGTCATGTGTGTGTGTATGTGTGTGTGTGTGCTCACTTTCTCACATTTTAAGTAAATTTTGTCACTTTGTGTACTTATTTGTATCAACACTTCGAATACGTATCTTCATGCATGACAAGAGCCTAGAGTGAAATTAATACAACCCTTGCCCACTTGAGATCACTATGCTCCCAAGACCTGCAGGTTAGGGGTTTGACTTCCTTTACTCTGAAGACAGACCCCCTACCTGGACCAGGGGGCTAAGGCTACCTAGATTGACTACAGCTCATTACAAACTCATTGTAATACCTAGCATGCTAAATGACACACCTACTAGCCACCATAACAGGACCATCTAAGGAGTGAAAAGCGGCAGTAACCAAATTCTGTGAAATCTCTAACTCCCCACCCTTCTAGAAAAACCATGAACAATCCTTCCCCTTGTTAGAATTTAACTCCCCTTTAATTTAATTAAACAACTCATCTAATGTTGAACACAGTTAAGAGATGGGCCAGTCCACTCAGTAAGTTGCACTCTGTGGAGGGTGCATATTTGTTTTCCCAGTAAAACACCTGCTGCTCACTAGTTACTATTCTCTAACTCTTTCCTTAGTTCCTTCTTGTGGCAAAGTCAAGGAACTGGCTACTACCAACACCTAAAAAATTCACAGAAGGCTGGAAAAATGTTAAAAGAATTATAGCATAGAGGCTCACATTGTGGTACAGCAGGTTTAGCTGCCACCTACAATGCCACCTGTCTCATTGAGTGCCAGTCTGAGTGCTGGCTGCTCCGCTCCCAATCCAGCTTCCTGCTAATATGCCTGGGAAAGCAGCAGAAGATGGTCCAGGGCCAGCGTCATGGCAAAGTAGGTTAATCTTCCGCCTACGGCACCAGCATCCTATATGGACACTGGTTCTAATCCTGGCTGCTCCTCTTCCAATCCAGCTCAGTGCTGTGGCCTGGGAAAGCAGTAGAAAATGGTCCAAGTGCTTGGGCCCCTGTACCGGTGTGGCAGACCCAGAAGAAGCTCCTGGCTTTGGATCGGCACAGTTCCGGCTGTTACAGTCATTTGGGGAGTGAAACAGCAAAAGGAAGACCTTACTCTCTGTCTCTCCCTTTCACTGTCTGCAACTCTACCTCTCAAATAAATAAATAAAATCTTTAAAAATTTTTTTAAAAAGAAGATGGCCCAAATACTTGGGCCCCTGCACTCACACAAGAGACCTGGATGGAGTTCCTGGCTCTTGGCTTTGGCCTGGCCCAGCCCCAGCCATTGTGGCCATTTGGGGAAAGAACCAATGGATGGAAGATCTCTCTCTTTCTCTCTCCTGTCTTTGTCTCTCTCTCTCTCTAAGTCTTTCAAATTATAGATAATATATCTTAAAAAGAATCACAGCCTGAATCTCTCAACATGAAAGCAGAGGAAGCTACCACTGAGGCACCCACTACTTGCAAAGCGCCACCCCTGATCCTCCACCACATTCCCCCTTTCCCTGCGCAGCTTTCCTCATCTGCTTCTCTCGACTTAAAACGTTTTCCCATGGAGATCTCGAATCTTCACCGTACTCAGCCCAAGGAGGGAGTGCAATGTTTAAAATCACAGATCTTGGCTGTGCAGACTTCCTTTCTCACGTTCATCATGGGCAGCATTTTCCCCAAAACCCTCCTTGGGGAGAGCACTGACTTTCCGGGAGCCCTGTGCACCCTCTCCGGCAGAGGTTTTCCCTTTGTTCATGTCTTGGGAGGACACACCAGTCTCCAAGCTCTGGCGTGTGGGACGCGCGTTCTGCTCGGAGCAAGCGTGTGCACACAGTGGTCTGTTCCCTCCTCCAATGAGCTCTGCCTGCTTGTGGATGTGACACTCCTGGGGAAGGAAGCCAAGAGCCTATAGTGCAGCTCCTGGGGAAAACTGAAGCAGCTGTGGCCGTGTAATTTAAAACCTCGGAAAAGTGTGCTGCAGCCCGTGCACAGCGCTAGGATAATAATACCATGAGGGCGGCATGTAGCCCGTCCTCCCAGGGACTTGCTCGCCTGCTGCAGGGAAGAGACGGCTGAAAGACGAACCTGCGTGCAGCCGGACAGGTCCAGACAGATGAGCTTGTGGCATCCATTCCCTAAACTCAGGTACTGTAATCCTTTGTCTGTGAACTTGCGGCAGTAAGCCAGGCTGAGGTTCTGTAGGTTGTAGAAGTGCCTGAAAAGACAGAGTGAAAGCAGAGAGAGGAGGCGTGCGATCAGACTGCTGCCCTTTTCTTAAGCCACTACAACAAAGAGAAGTAAAACTGTAAAGCAGCCTTGTCTCCTTGCACATGGTCAGCAGCTTCCTGTTACCGTTAATCTCTCCCTGTTCATTAAGGGAGACTGCAGTAGGATATCAGATACTGCCTAATTAGAATTCAAGTGCAATAATTAAACACTATGTGCCTAAATTTTTAAAGAAAGTTGACTGGGGTACAGTTTTTTGTTTTGTTTTGTTTTGTTTTTTGTTTTTTGGGGTTTTTTTTGTGTGTGTGGATTTTTTGACAAGGGGAAGGTTGCATTCATACTGTTCGGGAGTTAGCTTGCTTTTGAAACCAAAGTTAGAGTTTACTTTATGGTTGCTTTTTAGGGTTTGATCTCTTGGAGCACCACAATAGCGTGCACCATGTTTAGAAAGGCAAGCCTTTGGTAAACATTTAAACGGAGATGAACTGTTACATGGGGCTTGGGGGCAAAAAAGAAGCCAGAACCGAGTAGTGAAGGCTCTTGCAGCGGATCTGATAAGCACATGGTTTGGAAAAGTAGATTTAGCTATGCATGGTTTTGTAAGTACTGGTCCCGTTGCTTTAAAGCAAAGACCGGCACATAGAGCTGAGACGTTAGTTAAGAACAGTCTGCAAGGGAGTGGGCGACACACGAGCAGCATAAGAACGACATCAGAAGCTATCAGCCTCGCTGGAGCTGAGACAGATTAAACACAGCATTACCACAGTGACCACAATGACAGCGCCCGGGGAGACGGAGAGTGGCTCAGATGAGTCTGTCGTGCTGCGCGGAGGTTTAGCCCTCCTAAGCCTGGCGTTTTTCAAAAGTGCTGAAAGTGGGCATTTGGCCTAGCAGTTGACTCCCAAGTCCTGCATCAGGATGCCTGGGTTCAATTCCCAACTCCAGTCCTTGGCCCCAGCTTCCTGCCAGTGATGACCTTGGAAGTCCCTGCCACTTTTGTGGGAGACCTGGGTTGAGTTCCTGGCTCCTGGCCATTGGGGTATTTGGGGGAGTGAACTAAGGGACGGGAGTTCTCTTTCATGCATTCTTCCTCCCTTCCTCTCTCTCCCCCTCCCCCCTCTCCCCCTCTCTCCTTCTCCCCCTCTCTCCCTCTCTCCCAAGTAAATTTTTTAAAAAACTGTAAGGACTCTTACTACTGCCTGCTCTTGTAACTGAATTAACAAAACACTCTTGTTTTAGGATCTATAACAGTGTAACAGCAAACTAAAAAGCCTACAGATGAACCATAAAGTTTACTTTCCATACAAATGGGAAACAAGCTATGCAAGCATTGCCTGTCGATCGGATGTATTCCTAAAATCTGAAAAATACATCTGAATGGTATAACGATTTCTATTACACACTGAATTATTTGATTCAGAACACACGCGGCCCTCTGGGAATGGCTGTCTATGAGATTGGACACATCTCTTCTCGGCCTTTTGGCTAAGATCAAGTGAGACTGGACAGAACAGAGAGGGATGCCTTGCGCTCCCAGGGGCTGGGTGGGCAGGGCTAAGAAGGGGAGAGCGGCGCTCACATTCCTACACCACGGCCAGCAGGGGAACCAGAGTGGGGCCAAAGCTCTGGACAAGCTTTCCCTTCCACTCCTTGGTGCGCAGCCTGTGATTCCGCTAAGGAAAGAATGGTGTCCTCGGGGTAGGGGTAGGAGGAGGAGGAGTCCTGCAGCCAGCCCTCTAACTTGGAGAGAGGAGTAATGAGCCAGGCAGCACCACCCAGGGGAAAACACGCTTTGGAACTCGACCACATTGCATTCGAATCCTAGCCCGGCCGCTTACTGCATCTCTCCAACCTCTCCAAAACTGCTCCCCCACCTGCCAGGGGAAGATAATGATATTATGATTTTTTTTTTTACCCTGAACTATTGTGAGCCTCCGGCTCTCCTTGACTTTACTTTTCTCATGTGTTACATGGACATAATCTTATGTGCTTGCTTTCATCAGAGGTGTGGTAACCACATGAGAACATGAACATAATGAAATCATTTTAAGATTTTTATTTATTTGAGAGGCAGAGAGAGTAGGAGAGACAGAGACAGATCACGCATCTGCTGGCTCGCTTCTCAAATGTTCACAATGGCCCCTGGCTGGGCTGGGAACTGGGAGCCGGGAACTCAATGCAGGTCTCCTAGGTTGGTGGCAGGCCCCCATCACTTGAGCCATCACTGCTGCTGCCTAGGGTGTATATTTGCAGAAGCTGCCATCAGGAGCAAAGGTGGATATTGAAACCTGGCACTCCCACATGCAATGCAGCCGTCCCAACCCGCATCTTAACTGTTAGGCCAAACACCTGCCCTGTGGTATTATCTTGAGGGTGGCTTTGACTATCAAAATCGGCAGAGACCATGATAGAAACTTTAAAAGCCCACATGCCATTTTTGTTGCTTCTACTATGCCAGGCACTAATAACACGTTAATGATGTTTGTGGAATTTGTAACATTTTCTTCTGTTAATAGAATGAATATTCATGTGCTAAGAGTGCTGCAAATGAATCCGAGAGATGGGTGATCTGCTATGCTGGGTCTACACCTTGGCCCATGTTCTTTGAACCCGTATGATCAGTTAACAAATACCAAAAAAGAGAATTGAGCTGGGGCCTCTTAACTGCTTCTATGTTACAGACACCTTTGGCAGTGTGGTGAGGTCCCTTTCTCAGCAAGCTTTTAATTTCTTTTTTAAATCCACCCAAAAGGCAGACAGAAACAGAGACACAGACAGATAGATAGAGATCTCCCATTCACTGGGTCACTCCCCAGATACCCAAAGCCAGCAGCCTAGAACTCAATCTGAGTTTCCCAAGTGGGTGGCACAGACCAAGTACTTGAGTCATCCCCTGTTGCCTTCCAGGGTGCACATTAGCAGGAAGCCGGAATCAGGAGCAGAGCAGGGACTCAAACAAGCTACTCCAATATGAGATGTGGACATCGCGACAGCTACTTAACTGCTGCTCCAAATGCCTTCCCCAGAGTAACATTTTTGAATGCATAAAATAAAGTATGTAAGATTACAAAGGCAGCCAGTTATATTAAAATGTAAATTATTAAAATAGTTTAAAAACCTAGTCAGTGGAATAGTAATTTATGTGCTTCTTTGTTTACCTGTTAAATAACAGCATCTATCGGCAGTTCTAATGACTACTGAGAACAAGAAGTAGTCAAGAGTACCAATGATATTTCAAAGTACACAGAATAACTATAATGAAATAGGAATATATTTCTAATTTATATGGATGGAAGTCCCAGGGACTAATACTATTCTGGTTTTTACCTACATTTTAGTTAGAGCTTAGTAAAAATAGAAACAATCCCCCCCCCCAAAAAAAATTCACAGAACCCTGGGTAAGTTCTGTGGCACAGCAGGTTAAGCCTCTCCTTGGGACTCCTGCATCTCAGTATTGGAGTGCCTGGCACTGAGGTTTGCCTCCGCTTCAGCTCCAGCTCCCTACTAATGTGCCTGGGAGGCAGCAGGTGATGGCCCAAGTACCCTAGCCCCTGCCACCTGTGGGGAGACCAGGACTGAGTTCTTGGCCCAGCCTTGGGTATTTTAAGTGACCTAGCAGATGGATGATTTTCTCTCTCTACCTCTCTCTCTCTCTCTCTCTCTCTCTGTGTGTGTGTATCCCTTTCAAGTAGATAAAAATAAATAAATGTTAAAAATAAACTTTACAGAATCCCTAGATTCCATGCTCCTTTGGGGAGAATCCACTGACCCCAGTTTGAGAACCTCTGGTTTAGACTGAATGACTTCTGGGTTGAACTCCCTGGGTGGCTCTCTTCAGACTGAGCCTTTTGGAAGCCATCAGACTGAAAGCCAAGCACAGGAATGTGGACCGGCCCCGTGGACCTTTCTAGGGAGTGACAGTGCTGCAGACTCTGAGCTGCTGGGGATAGGAAAAGTGTCAAGCAACAGCAGAGCTGCGCTTGGCAAGCTTTATGCAATACTGTTCTTTTTTATTCTGAATTTTGGCAAGGAAACGTGCTCCTCCATGAGTAAGACCTGGCTCATCATTTTCCCAGCCCAGAGACCACTTGATAATTACAACTCAGCTTCAAGGCACAGTGTTTGCTGCCTATTTTTTTTTCCTCTTCTTCTTTTTCAATCTTTTCCTGATTATTTGATAACTATTTCTTATGGAGGGTAGATTCTTCCTCTGTGATTTATATATTTGTCTGCTACTATTGTAATCTTTTAAAGCACACAATTCTTATCGAAACTACAGAGATCATTTTTTCCTTCCATTCTTTTGGATTTTTTCCATGAAAGAGTTGAATAAGTCTGTGTTAGATCTCCAACACCTGAGGGAGTTACTGCTCCAAGGAATGCAGAATTACGTATTTAAATGAAAATTTCTCTGAAAGATCACCAAGACATAGCCCAGTCTGCAAATGGGAATTCGCAAATGGATTCTTTTGAATTGAGTGTTGCTCTTTAGTTCCACAAAGGCAGTTTCAAGTAATAGAATTCCGTAGACAGTCTAAGTGGGGTGATAGGACCTCATAATTGCAGGCTTTGGGGTTGTCCAGTCAAGACAATCGCTTATTCTGTCTGCCTGTCTTCGATGGGCACTGGTGACGCTGCATAACATGATAGCTTCTGTCAATATATAATAATATCATCAACATTCTGTCAATAACTGAAGGGTTAATTCATCATTGGAAAAGTAATTAGTCACCACTCCAACATAGCAATATAAGACTCCATTAAAGAACAAAGAGAGGCAGCTGTTCAGTGCAGTGGTTAAGATCCCTTGGGACACTGCTCATGATTCCGGCTTCCTGCTATTGTGCACCTTGGGAGGCAGCAGGTGTGGCCCAAGTGCTCAGGTCCCTGCCACCAGACCGAGTTCCTGGCTCCTGGCCCAGCCCCAGCTGTTAAGACATTTAGGAAATGAACCACTAGATGGGAGATAGCACTCTTGTGCTCGCTCTG